CTTTTGCCGCTACAGCCGTCGCTCTCGGCGGTTGCAGTCTCGGGCACCGACCTCGTCTACCTCGGGCCGCTCGCGGCCATGATCACGGTCATGACGGTCGAGTTTCGCTCTGCCAAGACGACCAATCTCGCATGGGCGCACTGGGTACGTGACTTTGCGCGGCGCTGCCCGCGCCTCCGCGAGTTGGAGGTCCACGTCGCGGTCAATGGCGCCCCGCTGCAACTGCTGCTGGACGTTCTCGGCCATCCCGCGCTGCGCTTCTTGACCTTGCGGCGCGTATTAGGGCTAAATGGAGCGTCCATGGAGAAGCTTCTCGCGTGGCTGCAGCGCGGCGACGCGCGTGGGCTCCGCCTCGACGGCGTCCCGTTTGGCGAGACGGACGCGCTTGCGTTCTGCGACGCCTTGAGCACCTGCACTTCGCTACTCGAACTTTGCGTCAGCCACGGACAGTACCTCTCGCAGCGACTTTTGGACGGCAGGTCGTTGCCGCCCAACCTCCGCGTGTTTGCATGGGGCGAGTACCACCGGCGCGGGGCAACCGCCGCACCCCGGTTCACCGCACTGCGCGACACCTCCCAGCTGCACACACTCGACTTGTCGGGCAGCCGGGTGCTCTGTCCCAACGCGATCGCAGCGCTCTTGCCGCACCTGCCGCAGCTTCGCTCGTTCGATGTCTCCAAAGTCACGTTCGACCCGCTGAACGATGTGGTGCAGTTGATGTCGGCCATGGGGCAACGGCCGACGCTCCAGCACGTCTTGGTGGGCCAGTGCAAGCTACCGCAGTCGGTGCTGCCTCCGCTTCTCGGCTGCATTCCGTCGTGGCCCTCGCTTCGACGCCTCGACCTCGCCGGCTTGTACGTCCCTGCACGAGCGTTCCGTGCAATGGTGACGGCGCTCGTCGCGTGTCCGGACTTTGCGTTTTTGAGTCTGCGCTTCCCGCCGTTTACCGATGCAATGTGGCGCGACATCGTCCCGACGCTCGGCGCCGGTCTCCTGAAATGGCGGCGTCTTGTATTTAGCGAGTGCCAGCCCACCGCCGTCCAAGTGATTCAGCTTTTGCGCCGCCTCTTGAAGCACAACCAACGAGCGTTTATTGTGACCTGCAGCAAGGGCTACTCGGCCGATGCCTTGCAGAACGCGTATACTGGGCTGCTCCACGAGCGCGGGCTCTTGCCACCGACACGCGAGTCGTGTGTCGTTGCATTTGTGTAGTATCGATGTATGTGTCTTTGATCTACGAGTGTGTGCTTGTCCTCGAGCGTCGTCCTTGGCAGCTGCGCTCCGTGAGTCGATCGCCATGGTTCGTGAAGCGCGCTTCTCCGATGCGCCCACCGTACCACTGGCTGGATACCGATCCCTTTCAAATGGGCGTCTGTGATTGGCTTGCTGGAAAATATGTGCGTTTTTGATTCGTCAATATTAGGACGCGTGTTTTCATTCGATATAGAGAACAAGAAGCACAATAGACTTTAAAAACGCAACCTCGCGCGGATTTGTGTGCTGGACGCGAACCCGAATCCAGACCAGAGGGGGAAGGAACTTACTTCATTGCCCAACAAGTCGAATGGCAACGCCGTCAGCACCACCCGACCGCGGCCTCCGCCTCTCGTACTTGCGCCACTTTATCAACGAGCATGGCGGCGAGGCTGAGTTTGCTGGCAAGACGACAGCCCAAGTCTGCTTTGAGTTTGTCGTGCCATTGACCAAACCGTCCGAGCTCTCGCTCGTCGACCACGTCGCCAACGACCCAATGACCGCTTCGTTCGTTGGCCCGGCCAATTGGTATGTTAGCCACGCCTGGCAGTACCTCTTCTTGGAGACCGTCGACAGCCTCGAGCGCTTCTTCGCCGACCGAGATCTTAGTGACGACGCGGTCCTTTGGTTTTGCGTCTTCAACAACAACCAGCACCTCGCGAGCTCGTACCCGTTCGAGTACTGGTCGACGACGTTCAAGGACAGCTTGGCTGCGATCGGCAACATGGTCATGATCATGCACCCGTGGAACGACCCGATCGTACTTCGTCGAAGCTGGTGCGTGTTTGAGGTCTACGTCGCAGTGACCATGGGCGCGCGCTTTGAGATTGCACTGGCGCATGATCAAGAAGCCACGTTCCTCAGTGATATTACCATCTATAACGCGTTTAGCAAGATGCTCGCGACGATCAAGTGCGAAGACTCGGTAGCCACCGTGCCGAGTGACCGCGACGGTATATTTACCTTGATTCGCGCCGAGACGTCGTTCATCGCGGTCGACCGGCTCATCTTCTCCACCTTGACGCACTGGATCAAGCAAACGCTCGAGGCGTCGATTGCGTCTGCGTCCTCGTCGCTCGAGAAGGCGTCGCGGTGGCGGTATCTCGGCGTCATTCACGACGCCTTGAACGACCACGCGGCGAGCGAGCGCTGCTTCCAGGCAGCGGTCACCCTCTTCTTGGCCGCGCACGGGCCCTTGAACGAAGAGACGCTCTTGCTGCAGTCGCTTGCCGCCTTTGCGCGGGCGTACCAGCGCACGCCCCAGTCCGAATGGGAGCCACGGCTTCGGTCGACGCTCTCGACCGCGCTTCAGCATCTCGGCGAGACGCACCCGACGACGCTGGCGGCGCGTAGCAACGTGGTGTCGTCGCTCTGCCACAACGACGCGCATGCGGAAGCACTGCCGCTGGCGCTGGAAGATTTCGACGTCCGACGCTCGCTCTACGGCCTATGTGATTGGCGCACGATGAGCGCCATGTCGACCGTCGGTCTGGTCTACGTCAGCCAACACGAGGCGTATCGTGCATCGCGCTGGCTCCGGAAGGCGCTTGGCCTCCAAGTGACGCACTTGTGCCGCGAACACAACGACACGATCGGTACCAAGTCCCGGCTCGTGGATGCCTTGCTGCAGATGGGCGACGGCGTCCAAGCACGCGCGCTCGCCGAGTCGGTGGTCGCTTCTCGGGCGCGCACGTACGGTGCGACGCATCCACGCACGGTTGCGTGTCGCATCAACTTGGCGGCGTCGGTGCTCATGACGGGCGATGCGGCTCTCGCGTCGGCGCAAATGCTTGCGTTGACAACGACCCTTGGCGCGGACGACCCAACTCGTTTGGCCGGTACGCATCTACACTATGTGGACTTGTTACTACTACTCGACTGGATACACTGTGTAGTGCAACTCAACTTGGGCGTCGCGTATGCCATGCAAGCCCAATGGGCGAATGCGCTGGCGTCGTTCATTGACGCCTTTGCCAGCGCACCGTGCAAGGTGACGGCGTGGCTCCTCTATGGGTTTGCAGTCCACGCCCCACTACCAGTCTCCAAGAAAGGGCTCACGCTTGTCCGCGACTTCATTATCTCGAGCTCCGATGCGCAGCCCGAGACGTGGCCGACTCGATGCATGGCGTGCTACACGCCCGTCACGGGTACCCTCGTGGCCTGCGCGGGCTGTCCTTGAGACGCCTTCCAGTTTTGCATAAGGTGCCGTGACCAGCGGCCATCGCGGCTCATGCGGTTCTGCCAACATGACCCAAAGGAGACAACGTGGAAGATGACGCTGCCGCCGCGCCGGTACTTTTATGAAGCCGACCTCTGTGCGACCGAGACGGCGCACTACGACGACATCGATGGGCTCTTCGCCGCGTACGAGCGTCACTGCGATATGCACAACGTCCCGAGAAACGAGCGACGCGTTCGGACGTTGATCCCGCGGTTGACGTGCACCTGGCACCCGATGTAGTAGTTCATTGTACAGTGTACACGTGTACTACTTGAGGCAGTGTGGTTTGTACATAAATTGGCTCGTGGACAAATTGCCGGCTTGATGTCAAAACATCGACGTCCCACAAGCGTCGACCCGTAAGCCACTGTCCTCTCATACACAGACCCAACATATGTAGAGGTATCTTTTACTGTACGGAAATGGCGGAAAGATGTATCAAAGCAAGGACATATAACCCTAGCTTTTATGAGGTTTAATAGCGAGAGCTTTATGGCGTTGATCGGAGCGAAACCTAAACCTAAACCTAAACCTAAACCTACCCCGTACCGACGACGAAGATGGTTTGGACCTTGGTGATAGAAGCTGCACAACTAAAACTAATAATGGTCTAGGTACTACGAGCAATAACGGCCTTGGTACTGCGAGCAGCGTGACGTTGGGCTGCTGTCCTTTATAAGGACGGTCCCAAGCAAAACTAATCGTTGTCGGCCGGGCTCAATGTTTTTAGCGCTTTTGATTGGTCGCTTTGATGCGATTTCATTGGTTTATAGTTCAATCATGTGGGCGCGTTCTATTCGCGGCATATGCCACGTTTTAAATCCCGGAGCGTATCTTCCATCGTAAGGTCGCGCCGCCTTCCGTGCTGGTGCCAGAGGCGCTCGACGTCATTGCGCGCTCTGTGCAGGACCAGCGGACGCTCGACGCCTTCCTCGCCGCCATGCCCACGCCGATGCTGTCGCGAGCGCTCATCGCCTTGCAGGACCTCGTCGCGACGCCCGATACGTCGCTTCTCTTGGACTGGCCCACGATCGTGCTGCGCCGTGCACCTGCGTTGGCGTCGACGATGGCGAACCTGCGGTCGCTCTTGCCGCTACAGCCGTCGCTCTCGGCGGTTGCAGTCTCGGGCACCGACCTCGTCTACCTCGGGCCGCTCGCGGCCATGACCACTGCAATGACAGTCGTTTTTTGCTCCGATCAGACGACCGATCTCGCATGGACGCACTGGGTCCGCGACTTTGGCCGGCGCTGCCCGCGCCTGCGCGTGCTTGAAATCCGCGCATCGGTAGGCGACAACCTCGGTCTGATCCAGCCGCTCCTGGACATCCTAGCCTACCCTGCGCTACGGCTCTTGTCGCTCCGAGGCGACTTTCTTCTGGACGTCGCGTCTATCGCCGTACTCCATGCGTGGCTGGAGCGGGGCGGCGACCGTGGGCTCCGCTTGGATGGCACCCAGTTTGCGGATGCGGCCGACCCACTGCTCTACAATGCCTTGCATACGATCCGGTCGTTTGTTGAGTTTCGTGTGCGCAACGTGCGGGGCCTCTCGTGGCTGCTTCCGGCGTTGCGCAGTGCGAGCCAACTGCGCACACTCGACCTGTCGGGCCACGGCTCGCTCTGTCCCAACGCGATCGCCGCGCTGCTCCCGCACTGGCCGCATCTCCAGACGCTCGACTTGTCCAGGAATCGCTTCGACTCTTATCACGATGTGGTGCCCTTGATGTCGGCCATGGGGCAATGTCCGATGCTCCGGCACGTCGTCTTGCAACAGTGCAAGCTACCGCAGTCGGTGATTTCTCCGCTACTCGGCTGCATTTCAGCGTGGCCCTCACTTCGACGCCTCGACCTCGCTTGCACAGGTTTATACCTTCCTGCACGAGCGTTCCGTGCAATGGTGACGGCGCTCGTCGCGTGCCCAGACTTTGCGTTTTTGAGCGTGTGCTTCCCGCTGCTTACCGATGCAATGTGGCGCGACATCGTCCCGACGCTCGGCGCCGGTCTCTTGCGATGGCGGCGTATTACGTTTAGCGAGTGCCAACCCACTGCCGTCCAAGTGTTGCAGCTGCTGCGCCGCCTCTTGGAGCACAACCAACAAGCATTTACGGTGACCTGCGGCACGATCAGCTCTGCTGATGCGTTGCAAAACGAGTATACTGGGCTGCTCCACGAGCTCGGGCTCTTGCCACCGCCACGCGCGTCGTGTGTCGTTGCATTTGAGGTCGAGGTGTGACGAATCCTATCAATGTATCAATATATCGAGTTTTTGAGATCTTACAGCAATGCGGGATGTGCATTGAGCCAGACGAGCCCCGCGCCGCCGCCTGCGCAGCCACGGACCGGCGAGCGAATGAAGAAGAAGGAGAATGCGAATCTTTGTGTAATTATGAAGATAACGCGAAACCCGTTCATATATAATGTGGGTTGTACCATATGCGCCAATCGACACGACTTGCGCGCGTCGCTCGTTCGTCGAGCTCGGTGGCGCCAGTGGTATAGAGGGGTCGATGGAGGTGACTGGCGGTACGTTCGTATGGACACCGCTGTCAACTGGCCAACGCATAAAGACGTCTGCACTGCCTTTCGATTAACGCCAATAACGCTACACCATTTCTCTCGATACGTTAGACCATCGGGTGCCAGTTGCGGTTCAACACCGGCACCGAGCGCCGTTGCAAGCGCTCGTGCATCGGGACCTTGTACGTCTCGCAGTACGTAGCATAGTCGTTCAGCAGCGACTCGATGCGCTCGTACGACCCTTCCTGCGCTAAAAGCGCGTCATGGTACAGCAGGCGGCGGGGCGGCAGCGCCGTTTCCAGCTGCGCAACGGGCGGGTCGTGCCGGCAGAACCGTTCAAGCCGCCCGCGCTTGGTCGCTGCGCAAGCGGCACAAAAAAAGAGCACACCTTTGGGACAGGCCTTGCACGTCAGAAGAACACCGGTGACGGGCTTGCTGCAGAGGACACACTCGGCGACCCACGTCTCGGGCGCCTCGTCAATGTCGTCCAGCACCACGAGGTCCAGGAGGTCGCGACGCGCGTTGGCGTCGGTGGTCGCCAAGGCAAGGCGGTAGATTGCCGAGACGGTGCACTTGCCGGGCACACGGCGGTGCGCGACTTGAAAATGGTCGGCCGCCGCGCCAAGGTCGCCACTGGTCCACGCGGCATGCCCGAGGTTGAGCTCCACTAGACACACACGGTCAAATTTACTGACACCAAAGAAGCATGCTACCATCCCGAGTGTAATCCTTGGGTACCTTGGCCGACGGCAAGAGGTCGCGTACCGAGCGCAAGATCGACGTGGCACGAGCAAGCTCGCCCACGTGGACCAAGAATTTGCCTTGGTTGAGCGTTGCCGCCAACGTCAGCTCGTGGTCCGCCCCGAAAGTGCGCTGCGTGGTCGCCAGGACGCGCTGGTTGAGCGCGAGGCCTTCGTCGAAGCGTCCGAGATTCATGTAGGCTACGGTTGCAATTTGCAGCGTCAAGACGGTATTAAGGAAATCGGAGCCGTGCAGCTGCTCTTGCAGCGCCGCCGCCTTGCGACTCCAGCGCAACGACGCGCGCGACTCGTGCGAATGCACATGCAAGCTTGCGACGAGGCCCATGACGACAGCGGTGTACTTGTGGGCGAGGCCGTACACGTGCCGGTGGGCGTCAAAGAGATCGAGCGCAATGCCTTTGGCCTCGTCGGTCCTGCCATTGCGGGAGAGCGCCGCGACAAAGTAGTACTGGGTCTCGAAAACGTCCGACTCGAATGGACCCAGTGCGTCCGACTGCGTAGCCAGCGCCGACTCGAAGAGCGGCCGCCACGTCGAAGCTGGCTGATTCAGCATGCTGCGCATCATACCCAGATGGGTTTGGGTCATCGCGACAACGAGCGGGTCGGCACGCGACGTGCGGAGCAAGAGTGCATGCTCATGGCAGCGCGCGGCATCCCCGTAATTTCTTTCGTCTTGGTAGATGCGTCCGAGGGCAGACCAGCGCTCGGCTTGTTCAAGCAGAGATGGCAAGGCCGGGATCGATGCTTCGAGCGTTCTCTTGATCCAGTCGGCAAACACGGAAAAAATGAGCTGGTCGACCGCGATGAACGACGTCTCGGCGCGAATCAAAGCGAAGATACCGTCGCGGTCACTGGGCACGGTCGCCTCCGAGTTTTCACACTTGACTGTCGCCAGCATCTTGCGAAAGGCGCCGTCTTCGGCCATGTCGCCGATGCAGCGTTGCTCTTGATCATGCGCCAGTGCAATCTCAAAGCGCGCGCCCAGTGTCACCGCAACGTAGACCTCAAAGACGCACCAGCTTCGACGAAGCACGATCGGGTCGTTCCACGGGTGCAGGACCATGACCACGTTGCCGATGGCTGCGAGACCGTTCTTGAACGTCGTCGACCAGTACTCGAACGGGTACGAGCTCGCGAGGTGCTGGTTGTTGTTGAAGACGCAAAACCAAAGGACGGCGTCGTCACCAAGATCTCGGTCGGCGAAGAAGCGCTCGAGGCTGTCGACGGTCTCCAAGAAGAGGTACATCCATGCGTGGCTGACATACCAATTGGCCGGTGCGACGTAGTTGGCGGTCGTTGGGTCGCTGGCGACGTGGTCGACGAGCGAGAGCTCCGATGGCTTAGTCAATGGCACGACAAACTCAAAGCAGACTTGGGCTGTGGTCTTGCCAGCAAAGCTAGCCTCGCCACCATGCTCGTTGATAAAGTGGCGCAAGTACGAGAGGCGGACGCCGCGGTCCGGCGACGTCGATGGCGTTGCCATGGTGCTGGAGACTTGGAGAATGAGAATGTCCCACCCGGCACATTTATGCATGACACACGCCACCATATGGCTCACTCATTCTTCACATCCCACTGTAGTAACCGGTCCGGTTAAGTTGATGCAACAATACTGCAGCCAACAACTTGGGATGCTTCACCCGTTTAAAGTATGCAATGCCCTGTTTAAGATGCCAAGAGCGGAGTGAGCAGGAACTTTGGCGCACGTCCTCCTCGGGAACTGCGGTGAGACGTGTTTAAAATTCAAGAAAAATTTATCAGTGCCACTATCATCCCTCCAAGTATCCATTGATTGTTGAGTTTTATCCGTCTGTTTATCTCCACTCTTGGCATCGAAAACAGGGCAGGCAGACAACGTTTAAAAACGCCTTGCATCGGCGCCATATGGGTTGGAAGTTGCACCTCCTTCCTTGACCCCAGGACCGTGGACTGGGACGGGAAGGGAAGTGCCATGGGATGGGCGGAGGTTTGTACGGTCGGTCCATGGATCTGTTGCTGTTGGAATGAGTCTATTGAGATATTATAATGGATCTGAGGGTCTGTGGGTGCAAAACCATGTCTTACCCTAGAGTCGAGGTCTGCATCTATTGTGCAGCCGCAAGGTGGCGTCCCTACGTTTTGGTACCACATGGAACCACACCAGTACCACATTTT